CTCCAAGATCTAAAGCCAATCCAAGGAATTTTTCCTTTAAATTGATATTAAAAAATGTTTCTTAATGGCTAGAACTTAAGTAGACGACACTGTATGTAAATTTTGTACACGAACTACATTTTGTTACAGGAAGAAAAATGAACTACTAACAATTTATCAAATTTTAACATTAACAAATAACAGAAAATAATATTTATAATATGATTGCCCATTTTAATACTCGATGATTCAATTTTATTGATAATTTCTAAACACATTGCTTATGTAGAGCTTCATACATTTTTACCAGATGAAACACCTAGTGATAGACGTTTATGCAGGGTTATCCACTAATATTATTTTCTAAGCCAGGGCTGTCCAACTGCAAAAGCCTCAAATACCGCTTTATAGAAAATCGCAGTTCGGAGGGCCGCATTATAAAATACTTCGAATGAAACTTTATCAGTGAGTTTTAATGGTATGGTATACTCGTACAAAAAAAAATTGGTTCTAAGCGAGAAATTAATACTAGTTTGAACTACTACCGCTTTTTAAAGATCTTTTGGGCACGATTAAAGCACCATCATTCAGGAAAAACAGTGCGTTTTTTGCTTCGTCGTGATGTTTTATTATTCCAAAAGAAAGAAAATCTTCTTTTGCATTTTACCAAAAACTCTTTGTTTCATCAACGACGAACTGTTTTCGAATTAACTAACATTTTCCAGTGAAAATGCGCTGCTACGGTAGGTGAGTCACCCTGTGAAATATTGCGCAAGTGTCCATTTGCAATGGACAATGATCTTATACGAAATATTCTGCTAATTACATCTCATTGGTAAGAAATCCCCATTTGCGATGCGACATATTATTTGATCTGACCTACGCATTAAAATGCACAATTTATGCATACACATATTTTGTAATACTTTTTATACTTTATCGATTTTTACCTTCCGGTTGCTCCAGAGTGAAAGGCCTTTGAGAGTCGGCGACTACACAATATATTTACTTTCTAAGCTCAGGATGTCAATATTTTCGTAAAAGTAAGGGCTTATAGATGTATATATTAAGGCAAATATACTATTTGTTAAGGTCTGTGATATAGGATTTTTATTTAAATCGGAAACTCTTAGACTCGATATGATATAACGTTGATATCTTTTGAAATTTCAGTTGCGATTGATCTGATAGTTCAACATATCAGAGAAATTCTGTCCAACAACCCTCGAATTTCGGAAGAGAGAATTTTGCCTAATACGCAGCTCCACTCACCAGCCAATCACTCCCTTTCCAACAAAATAGCACTTAATGGAGAGGCCGTTTTCAAGAGACCACATTAAGGATGATTGTTTTTTTGCATTTCTTATTAGCTCGCTTTATTTATTTTAATGTTTATATCACAGAAAATGGTAAGTTTGTTAATTAGTTTATAGTTTTTACTTACCTTTACGCCGATATCACGTTTCGAAGCCAAATTTTTACATTTATTTAAACGCATCTAATTTTTTATGTTACTTTATATACAAACACATATTTTATCAAGATTCAAACATTCGACTTTGACACATATCTGTGCGTTTATATTATACTTGTAGAAAATAAAATAGATCTAATCTCTTCAGCACACTGCTAAGTTTACAAAGTTACAAATAGAGTTAAATAATATTCAATTTAATGTCTATAGCGGTTAAGTAAATAACATTAGAATTATGCATTACTGTAACCAATAACGCCATAATTAGAGGCACATAAACTGTAAATAGTAAAACCTTTTATGCATAGAAAATAGAAACAACATTCTGTGATAGACGGTAACATGTAGACACCAGCCATAAGTACTTAAAAAATCAAAAATAACTTTGTTACTATCGTTGGATTCATTTTAAAAATGTGTGGACATTATTTAAGAAATAACCAATATGTATAAGCACTAATATAAAGTTTTGTGTCATATTTTAAGTTTGTTTTGTGATATTATTGCCAAAAAGAAGCACTAATTTTTAACTTGTTGGTGCTATTAGAGTAACTTTATCCTCGTTTTATTTCTGTGGATCTTGCTGTTGAATAAATTGTATTATCTTACAGTAAAGTTATTTTTCAACTTAAAACATAATTTTTCCATAAATATGTGGTGTTTTGTGCCCGTTTTCTCAGTGAACTATAACAAAATATGGTCTTCATTTTTTAACGAAAACATCTGTTTGAAGGCCAAATTAAGAGCAAGAATTTTCTACTAATGAATTGCAGAAATGTGTTTTTCACGCAATAGTTCCATTGCATACGGTTCAAGAATTGAAAAAAACTTGCGGATACTAGGAAAATATTCACTTCTTTGCAAATCACAGCCGACTTTTAGATCACTTTCGGAGGTTGTGATTAACCCAAAGGTGGGAAGGTAAATATAAGTTTCGCACAAAAGATTCTTTCGCTTCTTGAAGTAAAAAAAATATATTTGTCTGATTCGAAATGCGTCTCCAGTTCAGTACAATAAAGTGGTAAAAACATTAAATATAATCAGTAAGACCCCTATTTAGCTCTGTGGGTTTTCCGCTCAATGGTGTAATGTATGGTAGTAAAAATAAAACACTATTTTTTTCATGAGCCGACGTTTCGATTATATTTAAGTCATCGTCGGGGCTCTATGAACTTAGTGCCATATTTACTCCAAATGCACAGAAAGGGCAACATACCGTTCGAGTTTGGCGTATTTTAAGACTGACTGGATTTTAAGACACAACATCATTTCAACATTTTATGGGATTAAATATAATATACGCAATATGTTGTTTTGTAATTGCTTGAATTGGAAGTTCGTTTCCTGAGTAAATTGTAGAGAATCGAAGTTCTAATTGCGTATAAAGGAATTAAGTCTGAGGTAAAATAAAGACAAAATATTTCCTCATTACCGCTTGTAATAATACACATAATGCGGGTTTCTTCGTTACTTGTTGCAAACATCTTAGCTTTAACATGGATACTGTTAACTTTCTTTAAAAAGAAAAATAAAATCTGGAAAATAAAGTACTTTAGCTTTTGCAAATAAAATTATTTTGATACCGAAATACTTTCATATTAAGGTATAATAAGTATAAGGTGTATTTTTCAAAGAACTTTAATTGTTTTTCAAAGTATTTTCAACATTTGTATAATACGGAATGCTCTTTGTCTGACGATAATAAAATATGTTTAAAATTAAGTAACACTAAAAAAGTAGATCCATATCTATTACTTGTAAAATGTTTTCTTGAACATTTATTTGGATGTCGTTTGGTCAATATCAGGACTTTTACCTATTTTTCTGATTACAAGTGCTTGTCTTTGGTGGCAACTTGGGTTGAAGGGTTAAAGTTTCCATTACCTTTATTATTAAAATAATGGAACGACTTAATAGCAACACATTTCATATTTGTTCAATTCAATTCGCATCAATTATATATTAGTAAATATTGAAGCAAACATTCTTTGGAAAGTAAGAAATTTATATTGTTTAATGTATTAACATTATCCTATAGTTAACTTATTTATATGATTATTATACACCCAATACATTATATTCGTCCCAGAAAGTTAATTTCTAAAATTTAATATCCATGTCTTGTAACATTTTGTGAAGGTAAAATGTGCGATTGAAACATGTGGCTACGACAAATGGTACTTAAATTGAAAAGAAAAATTACTATATGTGTAACTGAACTTACAGCTAACTTATATCAGAAATTGATTATAATCGTTAAATTATTGATAGTAGAGCTCAATATTCATTCCGTCGTGGATTTCATCTGTGCATTACTGTTAAGGAAATAAACATGGTCTAGTTCAAAAATTTGCCAAATATAGATTATATACGGGACATAAGTACCGTAAGACGATTCTAAACTATTGTAGTTGTTTTGTTGATTGAAAATAAATCTTATCTACTTTTGCGGTTAGAAGAATATTGGAAGAAACATTCCTTAAATCTTTCGCAAGCAACTCGATGCCAACTTGGCCTCAAAGGGATTCAGAGGGTCATGACTCCCCGTGACTGGGGGCTAGGTTCATTTTGTCAGCTTGTTTAGAGTAAGCGGAAGATTGTCGTCAAAACACTCAACTCAATATACTCTATGTTGTATGGATAGAGCATTATAAATTATTTCTCAGATATTTACTTGAAAGTGAAATATTGAAAAAGGATACAGTCCTGAAGTTGAATGTGGTCTTTAAAGGTGGTATACCACTTTTTCAAAACAATCTTCTCCCATTTGGTACCAGTTTGAGCAGCAATCAGTTTTTTCAGGTCTCCTACTGTGTCCTCGGGATTGCATTTCACTCTAACTTTCTTGCCCAGCCTGTCGTTGCAAGTGATTTCAATCATCTTTAGATTTTTCGGCTTTTAAGACTAATATTTTATTGTAAATTACTATCTGTACACTTAATATTTACGAGCAGTTTTTACGAAATGTGTGGTTAGAGCGAATGTCTGCTTCACAATTTCACAGTTCACAGAGTCTAGATTGAAAATTTGAATTTTCCGTCGAAACTATTCTTGTTAAAGCATAATCAACTGGATTTGTTCCATACGTTTCTTTCTAATAGTTATTATAAATAAAATAACTTAATAGAACTGAAATCCTGAATAAATTACATATCACAGAGTACAGAGGTTATACCGTAATTTGTGATCGTAGATGAAGACAAGTTGTGACAAAGCTGTTTGTGATCTGTGAGTGTCATAACCACAGATCATAACCTTTCTTTATTCATGTCAAAACAAATAACAGTTTTGTGAATTGTTAGATTTTATTTTCTTGGTGGTTGGAGTAGTATTGCGATAATAACGTTTGTGAATATACCTTGTCGATGTTCGAAGAAAGGAGGCCAGTACTGGGTAAGTCGATTGACATAAAACCCTTGTTTATCTAATTTTGCTTTCCTAACCTCACTGGTTTGCATGATCTTCATCAGTTGAACTATTATAAAACAATCTGCAAGGGATGAAAGTTCTGGCGGCCTAGAAAGCCCCCATGGCAACTTAGCAAACCTCCCTGCTTGCTCAATCAGCGAATTATTGAGTAGAATAGAACATTCACTCATACATGCATAAACTCTATGTTGTATTTGTATTTAGTATTAGAAGGGCTGCTTGCTTTAGAGTATTCAGGGTAATTTTGGTTTAGGAGTTAATGAAAAGATCAACCACAAAAGGGCTGTGACGCTGACATGTTTGCGAATAAGTATCGACCTGGTGGCTATTGCCTTTTTCATAAAAAAAAACATTTTTTATAGAAAATTTAGTCCGCATATTTAGCTATACGAATGGTTTGCCAAATTACCTTTAAGCAAAAAAAATCCAAACATTTTTTAAAAGATGTATACGTAAAATTGTTTGCTTGCTTAATAAAAATAGTGAGGACGAGCTGATTGATGTACATTGCATGATCCTTGGCTTTGAATCGGCCAGTCTTTTACCTAATTCCTGCTAACGCTTTCGCTTTGTCTAGTCCTCTGATATTCGGTGTAAGGAACGTTTAATTGTGTTTTTCTTAGAATTACCAATCTGCTTTTAAATCGGGCTTGAGTGTGGAAACAACGACACCCATCTTCGACTGTATCCAGAAGTAGCTGGACGCATGAAAGCAGGCCGCAATTGAAACTAGCGAACAGTTTGCAGTGAAAATCCAATTTAATAGTATTGATTTTATATTTACGGATAGCGATAAATTGTGAGTCAAAAGCATGAACAAGATAGAATTAGAAGGAACAGCCCATTTGCTTGATGAGCTTGACAGTAAGTTTAATGATCTCTGCAGTCTCTTGGTCAACTGAATTAATCACTTCTCCTTCTGTAGAAAAACTTATGGTTTTACTGCGCGATGGTAGGACCTTAATAGGCTACTTGAGAAGTGTAGATCAGTTTGCGAATTTAGTTCTACATAAAACTATAGAAAGGATTCATGTTGGCAAGGAATACGGTGACATACCCCGGGGAATTTTTATTGTACGAGGAGAAAATGTTGTGCTTCTAGGCGAAATTGTAAGTATGTGCAGATACTACCGGAGCTGGACCATACTGGCATTGATCAAGAAGTAAATGTTTACTAGACAAAATCGGGGCCTTGTTTTAGGATATAGACAGAGAGGATAAATTACCGCTAACAGAGATCTCGGTGGATGATGTTTTAGATGCACAAAGAAAAGAACAAGAGTTACATATCGAAAAACAGCGGCTTATTTCAAAAGCTCTAAAGGAAAGGGGTCTGCAAATGAATGCGGATTTAGTTCAAGATGATTTATATTAAAATTGGAACTGACGAGCACACTATTTTATTTTCTTTTTATAACTAGGCCCCATTAAATACTGGTATAAATCGCCGTTCTGTTGAATAACATGCTATTTATTTCAAAATAGTGGTTTTATTTGTGTTTGTGTGTAGCATTACTTCCACGTTCCAGTACCTTCCTTTTCCAGGGTTACTTTTCTACTTTAACGGGTGGTTAATCATAAGAAAATAATATATAAAATAATAATTGGCAATTAATCTAAAGATGCGACCTCTAATCTCGGTTGTAGTCCAATCCCGTATTTTCGATTTATTCTTGAAATTAAACATCATGATATTGTGTAATTACATTTTTATTATTCGTCTAGTCGCTGTGAGCAGTTTGATATAGTATGTTACAGATCGCGACCAATTATATTAACTCTTAACAGTACTTAACAGCATTAAATTTAACAAATAACATATGGAGATGAGGATTATTTTTTTCGAAATTCAATAATACAATATTATTTGCGTTAAAACTTTTTTTGAGGAAAGGGACACAGACAATACATAATTTAATTTCAAAAATCTATAACAATAAACAGTTTTAGCATTAAAATATGGGAACTTTCCTCAGAAAAAATTATCGGCAGCTACGTCTACATTAAGAGATCAGTAGTATGCTTTTAATGTAGTCATACCTGGAAAATGCTACACCAGTAGAAACGTGCTTCGTCGGCATATTTGGAAGGAAAAAATGTGAAAGCACTTTTCCGGTGCTTAATTGTTTGGAAGACTATTGAAGAGTGCGGCTCTAGTTCAATTTCATCTTCATTTGTATTATTTATTTGTTTTGAAATTGTTTATTTTAACGAAATTGAGACGGCAAATCCAAATATGCAAACAAAACTGAATACGAGTAAGGACATTCTAGTGGTTTAGCAGTTTATGTTCGCCCAAAAAAGGGCTACTACGTTATTTCGACATTTCTTAACAATTATGAGTTAAAAAAATCGCGATTGTACAGGGTGTTCTGAAAGCCGGTCTGTCGTGCTAAGGAATAAATTAGTTGTTCTGCTGTCAATTATCAAATTATTCACTGTTTATGGAGTCCCACTGTTTGGGATGATTAACAAATTTTCCTATGTTTGTATCATTTTGGGGGCTGAGTTAACGACAACAATTTGATTTCTATTACAAATATTTTAGGTCAAAGCCCCTGCTAGGTAAATGTTAGGAAATCCGTTTAAATGCGTATCTACAAAATAATGATTCAGCAAACATATAAATAAAATAGACAATAATTTGATAATTGACTATGGGCGGGAGAAATGACCACAATCATACAATTATTTCTCACATAATGGCAATACTTACAAATACACTTTATAAATTTAATACCTAAATCACCATAACGTTGGAATAATAGGTTCTTAAAAACAATTCTATAAATGTTAATCTAAATAACAATGTGGGGCGTTAGCCATTAATTTATAGGGTGCAATTTCGCTACGATTTAATGGAATTATTATTATTGCCGGTGGTAAGTCCGAAAAATTATTTATTTACCTGAATACTTTGTGATCTAGTAAGTAGTTCTATCAAGCAGGTTACAAAGACTCAATGTATATTTGTGCATAACTGTCGCTAAAGGAAGACACGCTTTGATGTTGGAAGACTCATCTCTTGATATATGTTTGAATTACATTTCTCTTATCGGTTTTACATCAATCGAATACGATCAAACCGACAAGATTAACGCAACAAACTTTTCCCTTAACATTTAATTGAATCAAACTGTCGTACGTGTGAGTTGAAGTACGCGGATATTTTTTCAGACTTACCCGTTTACAGAATACATAAAATATTAGGTCCAAAATGAAACAAAGCGCATCTAAACTCAAATATCAAATACAGCATAGAGTATATTCAAACCATTGCTAGTTTTAGCCGTTAATCATCTTTTGAATTTGGGAAACTTTGGGAACATTTGACACACTGATTACTGTATATGATTATTCATTTGTTTTTTTCTTTTATATAAGTACCCTGTTTTATTTAGTGTTATTGAAAAGTTTAACTAAAATCATGGCACAGTGTTCAAAATAGTTCAATTGAATTGGCAAGAACTTTCCAACATCAATTTTAATTGCCAGCGACACAATCAGTTAATAAAATTAGTTAAATCCAAAAGCGAATTAATCAAACACGGCGATATTGAAGTTTCTCGCCAACTCAGGTCAGGACTAGAAGTTCTTTTCACAAATTTAACAAAACCACGATTAGTTACATATTATGCTACGTTAACTAAAATGTTAGTACCTAAAGAATAAACACAACAATCGTCGGGAAGACTTACATTTTTCATATTGTAAATTTTTTAAAATATTAAATCTATTTACTTGGTGTTTTGTCTTTGCAAACTATAATTCGTAGGCATAGTCCCTTTTATACTAAATTAAAGTGTGGACTTTTAATAAAGGCCATATTTAATGAAATAATTGAACGGTGAACATTTAAAATGCAAGTCACAGAAAATGAGATAAAGATTTGCGTTATTTCATTTCGAATAAGAAAAAGGTGTCGGTTAGATGGTTATTACCCAGGTTGAGTTGTAAAATATAATTAATTAATAATAGTGCATCGTACTAAAAAAATAATAAGAAACGTTATATGCAAATTGTATAAAAAAATTATATAAGTTCAGAAACGTATATTTTCCGTTTTCACCCCTTATTGAATTTTGGATTAGTTGGTAAATATTTATTAGCTTTTTAATGAAACGGTTTCATTCCGTTCACTTCTTTCCGATTGATTTTTTACGTTACAGCGTTAATTCTGTATACATATTTTCAACCTAAAAATGTCTATTTAATATACTTTTGCTATCATCTTTTTAACATGCTTGTACCAGTATTTCTTTCATTTGCTTGAAATTATTGCAGTTAGTAACACAAAATCACCATGTGTTTTAACACGATTTATACATTTTTAAATCAAATAATGGATTAAATAATACTTTCTTACTAAATATCAAGGAAAATTGAATGATAATGATTGAACATTGTAAAAATTATATTTGAAGTCAACAAAATTGGTGTTTTTGAGGTAGTGTTTTGCTTTATCATAATAAAACGCTCTTAATAAAATATCACTCTTACTAAGACCATTATCGAGATATTAGTACTCAACATACGAAGGTAATAGGGGAGAATATGAAGATGAAAGTACTGAGGAAAATAATGTCCCATGGTAAGAAACAAATATGCAAAATTATCAACAACAAGACTGGATAAGCCACGACCAATAGTCAGAAATATTGCAAAATTGCAAAAACATTTTATGTATTAATACCAAAATATTTATGTAAAGGGTTTTAGAATATAAAGAAAACTAAATGTCTGTATTCTCCGAG